CCACGCGGGTTTTCGAGCAAGGTTTTCAAGCAAGTTAGAGCTGATATATTTTAAGTTTCAAGGAGAATTGATGTTGTCCATTGTTTAAAAACTAAAATAAAAATTTAAATAATCCTTTGTTTCTTGTTGGTTGTTTTTCACTTTTCTAATTTTTATAGCTTGTTTTCATTTTTTAGAAGGAGTTAGAACTAAAATGACTGGTAAAATAGTTTTTTTAGTACAATGTTTCTTTTTTAGTAAACTGTTTCAGTTTTGTTGTTAGTCTTTTTAGAATATTTTAAGCAAGGATTGTTTTATTTTTTAGAGCAGTGAAGAGAAGCTGATGTCTTTTTTAGTAAAGTCAACTCATTTTATTATTTAGAGATTAAGATTATTTTTTGTAAAAAGAATAATGAGAATAAAGTTTTTTTTATGTATTTAATATGAAAGTCTACATTCTTTGTTACATTAAAAATAACTGATGCAAATAAATGTTGTTTTATAGTTGTTAAAAGTTTGCATATATGTTATTTATATGTTTTGCATATATTATGCTCAAAGTTAAAAAGTTTTTGATGAATACGTCAATGTGGTGATAAATGTTATATAGTTGTTTTATAAATGTATTTATATAAATGTGTTTTTATAATAGTATGAAATGTATTTTATTTAACGTGTGCATGATTGTTAAATGAGGTGTTTCGATATGTTATATAACATTAAAAAAATAATGTGTTCTATAGTTAGTATATATGTTTATATAATGTTGTTTCCATAATTTGAAAGTGTGGCTTAGAAAACGTTCAGAGCAAGATTTGTCAACCTTACCAGTCAAGCGGTGATACTGCCTTAATTCTAAGTCTTGCCTAGCCTTCTATATAAATATTCTAAAAATACATAACATTATCTTTGATAAATTTTAGCGTTATGTTGTTATCTTTGTCTTATCTTTAAGTTAGTGTCAATTGTTAAAGCGATAAAAAGGCAGTTTTATCACTAGAGCTCACTGATTTTATTTATTTACTAAATTCATTCAAGACATCATTTTGCTATAAATACATTTTGTTTATCATGAAACAACAATATTTAACAACTACTTCTCACGTATCACAACATATTATCTCAGTTACATTAATTTTCAATTCACATATGATATTTTTCTTTGTGTTTACTTATTTGTTACATTTTTTAACTTCCGATTTATCATATAAATACTATCCCAAAGAAAAAAGAAAAATATTAGAAAATACTGAATGTATATGCATACATATATAATACTTTAGACTGACATTGCTTCGTTTTTCAGACAAGGTTCTGCATTTATTATTTTTGTGCATTAAGATAGTGGCTGAAGATAAAAATAATTTTGTGCATTGTAGTATAAACTCTTTGCTAAATTAAAAGTAATGTAAATAAATTTTGTTTTATATTTCTAAGAACGACTTCTTTATATAAACTTCTAAAAGAATATGAAATCAATCTTAAATTCAAATATAGTCTTTGATTAGGAAAGAACACGATTTGTAAAATTGTTTTACGTTCATTTATTCATTTTTAACAGTAGTATATTTACTGGTTATATGTTTAAATATAACAGATGTATAATAAGCTCGAAGAGTTTTTTTGTGTAAATGGTAATATGCGACTTGAAAAAAATTGTTGTCAAATGAAAGAAATATATCTAGGACAGATAAAATTTTGTGTTGTTGTATTTTCGATATCTATTAATTTAATTTTTCACTAGACACTAAAGTATAAAGCCATGTATGAATTTTATTATTTATTTTAAATATTGTTAATATAAATGGTAAAGTTCATACATGGCTTTATACTTTAGTGTTTAACAGTTGTTGTTTAACAGTTTAAAGTTTAAATTAAATTCAAATTTAAATTTCAAATTTAAATGATTTTTATTTTTTTTTATTTTTTTATTTGTAATCTCAAACATAATTTTGTTCTTCTTTTCTTTTTAGATGCCTTTGTCATCACTTGATTATTTTGCTTACTGTTGAAACATGGTTTTAATTTTGTAAATTTAATATGATGTGAAATTTACTATATTGATCATTAGTCAACAGTTACAGAGAAGCTTAATCTTAATGCTGGAAATTAACTTTTAATTAAGGTAAAAATAATTTTGTTTATTGGTAGCATAATAAAACCAGTTACTGTTATTTATTGCATGTTTTTTTTTTTACTTTTTTTAACATGCTGCTTTTGAAACACTTCTCTCACTCTCTCTCTCTCTCTCTCTCTCTCTCTCTCTCTTTTTCTCTTTCTCTTAGATGAGACTTTAATGAGAGTTAGTACAGAGAGAATTGATAAAACTCATGTAATTACTGAGCTTTTGCGTATTATTTAATACTACAATTGATATTGACCAATTATAAGATATATTTTACGAGTTGCTTTCTATTTAAAGATATAATTCTTTAAATTGTTTAACTTTAATTGTCCCTTGGTTGTTCGAATATTGTAATAAATAAAACTTTATAGTTTCAAATATTTTACTTTAGGAAATGTCCATATATTACATAACGCGAAATTAAACTTCTAGTGAAAAGAGATATCTCTAAAACCGTGTTTCTCTTAGAGTCAACAAAATGTTGCATGTTCAAAAACTAGAGCATTTAATAGTTTGTTTTTCAAAATTGATAAACATCCTATTCAAGGTATGGTAGGTGAAAAGTGTAACACAAATAGTATTATTCTTTTTAATGTTCTTAATTTATAGTCTTTAGATTTTTATTTCGAAAACTTACTGTTATAGGTTGTGAGCACATTTTGTATTTTTAACTTTATTTATTACTAATATTTTATTAAGTCATATTTGTTTATAGTTGTATATATGTTTAAATTATGTTGTTTCCATGTTTTCAAAGTAGTGTGACTTAGTATTATGTTAAGCAAGTTTGATAACCTTGCCAGCCAAGCGATGTACTTATAGCAGAGGTGTGCCTTGGCAGCTTTTAATGCCAGAAAAAAAGAAAAATATAGTTAGCTCTAAATTGGTTTTTTTAATTTTGTCTTTCATATATTTTTTTAGCTTGTTATTTTCACTGGATTTTATTGTTATTAGTTTTTGTTGTAATGTTATTGTTGTGATGTTTTGTGTTGATAGACAGCTTGGCTTACCTTCCCGTTTGCGTCTATTGTTAACAATGAATAATAGGTAGTTCCATTATTGGAACTTACTGCTTTTATTTATTTACTAAAAACCATGACAACATTTCGCTAAAGTTGCAATTTATATATTAGGTAGATTTTTGTTTTCATTATTGTTAAACATTTTGTACTTCAAAACAGATTTTATAATTGCCTTTTTGATAAATAATTATTAACTGCAATTTTAAAATAAGTATCTATAAATAGCTAAATCGATTTTTCAATTTTTATGTGGTGTTTCATTTTTTTTTTTTTTTTTTTGTAATTATAACATCATAATTCCATAACTTTTTTATTTTAGATTTACGTTATGACGCATTTATAAGACTTATTAAAAAAAAAACTGATTTCGTTTTATTGTAAATTTTTGTTAGTTTAAAAGAAATAAATATATGCTATTAGTTATATTTTTTTATATTTTATGTTGTTTTGTTCTGTTAATTTGTTGGCGTATCTTAGGGGATTGTTGTAAACGGGAGTTCGTTACTAAAAACCTTTAAAAACGGAGAATTTTGTTGTTTTGCGCATTTGATAATTATCGAATTACTTATATTTTATTTCATGTTTAACTAATTAGTTGCTTAGTGTGCATTTGTAACACTTTTGAGGAAACTAAGAAAACATTCTTATATATGAATTGATGTATACAAACACGTTTAGGTCGGGAAACGAGAAAAAACGTATTAAATCTAAAATTATTACTTTAACAAATTTGAAAAAAAATATTTTAGGTCTCCATTCAACATTTACGGAAAGGTCTGACTTGAAGTGTTTTACTATACAATGGTGGTACTGTCTTCAAAGAACAAATTTTCATTAAAAAGTCAAATATTTATAAAAAATGACGTTTTTGTATACATTGATTCATATGAAAATCATTGTTTTACAGTCATTTTTTTTTTCTTTTTTATGTCTACTTTTTTTTGTTTTTTTTTATGCCTAGTAAGTTGTTACAATTTTTATTTTAGGTTAGCCATATGACGCAATATATAAGATCAAAGTTAAATTTGTTATAGACGTTTTATTGGAAAATTTTTTTTTTTTGAAACGTATTGCTACTCAATTGCTTAGTTATTTATAATAAACTTACTTATTTTTAACAAAATTATTTAGTTAAGTGCATTTAACTTTTTTTAAATAACAAATTTTCTTTTCTAAAGAAAAATTTATAAAAATTACAAGAATTTAGTTTATATTTTTGTCAATTTAAAGAATGGTGAAGTGTTATTATTTTGTGTTTAACTTAGGAATGTCAATAAAAATGGTTCTGCTTTACACTGATATGACCTATGTCAGTTGTAAATTACTCCAATAATGTGTTAAATAATAATTGGTAAATTATTTCATCTCCTCATACTTTTTATGTTAATTTTACAGATAGATTGATTTTTTCAATTTAAAGGCGTTTTTCTAAAAGGGTATTAGTTAAGAATTCGCAAATTAAATTTGTGGAAAACAGCCACTATAAATTTATTATGTAACAGACTGACCATAACCCGTATTACGGGTTACGTTTTGCTAGTAAATATTATTATACTTATTTTAAAAAAAAGTTTTGATTATGACAACACAAATTGTAAATAAAATTATGACAACAAATTGAAATTGATGATTGAACTGATGAGACTTGCTTTGTATTAATGTTTTTTTTTTTTTTTGAGATTCCTAATATTCTGCTTAAAAGGACGAAAGTGTTAAAAATCACACGTTCATAGTGCTTTTTTTTTTTATTGTGTTATAAACTTTAATAGGAGTTATTTCTCAAATAACGCAACATAAAAATAACATTTTGTAAAAAACTACTTAATGTAAAATTTGTAATCAGTATTAAAACAAAAAATTATTATTATCTCCAGTTTTATAATAAAAATTACAAGAATTAAAATTAAATAAATTTACAAAATCGATTTAAATTTTGTTTTTAAAATATAAATGAGTAAAATTTAAATTTACAAATAAAAAATAGTTCGAAAGACGTCCTTACAAATGACATTGCATTTCTGACACGTCGTAGAAAATAGTAGCAGATTTGCCTATATAAAGAAATTATATCTGTAAATAATAGCAAATGCAAATAAAATAAATTAAATCAAATATGTTGCAGCAAATGTAAAAACTTACATAAGTTACATTTGTATTTAATACACGAATTATAAAATGGAAAATCCTATATGAGAAACTGGTAATACGTAAGTTATCGGACAAAATAAAAATAAATAAAACTTTTTTATAAATAAAAAAAAAAAAATTTCTAAAAATTACATTTTTTTGAAATTAAGTAATTTTCTTTTAATAAAAATAAGCTAGCTTTTAAATAAAAAAACACCACTATCTGCAAATATCTCAATTTTGCTCTGACGCCTTTCATAAACGACTTTAAAGAAATTATATAGATTTCTTGTAGTTTTAATCTAATTCAATCAATCAATAATTGCTCTGTTGATGCTTGCCAATCTCCCTTGTAAACCTTCTGCGTCAAATGTCCTTAAAATTTTTAAATTGATCGTGCTTAAGGCACATTTAGGTGATTAGATTCTTTATCAACGTAATTGCATATTGGTCCATTCAGTCCAGAGAATCTTTAGAATATTGATAACTTGCTAATTCTGGCTAAAATAAATAGTTAAATTCTTCATGATTCTTGTGTATGATTGAAAGAAGTCGTTTTTCTAAACCTTCATCAATATAAATCGATAAATTAATTGCTACAGCCTTGGAAGAGCAAAACATATTTTTTTTTTATTTCTCTTTTCCTATAAAACGACACTTTCTGGGAATGATTTTTTGTTGTTTGTGTAATATCCAGAATTTCCAGGCATGTTGTCTCCTGCAAAACAAAAGCAACTTTCGTCATCGATGACCAGAAGCGATTTTGTGTATTAGAGTTGGTTAACTAGTTTCTTGCTTCTTTTTGTTTTGCCTTTAATTATTGTTCTATAGTGTATTTTGGTGTTTTTCACGTTTTCTTTATTTAATAATAATAATTTTTATCTGACGACCAAAAGTCGATTAATTTACTTCGAATTAAAATCTATTTTTCTGTGAGTGACACCTTTTTAATTGTTAACAAGTATCTTAAATTGGGCTTTGTTTTTCTCTAGTCCAGGGTATTGGACAACCAGAGTGCTTTCTATCAGAAAAGAATTGAGCAGTTTCAAGTCTTTTTAGGTTATCATATATTTTATTTCGAGCAAATCCTTTCTTTTCAAAATGGTTTACGATTTTTTTATATATATAAGGTTTATTTATAAAAAACATTTAGTGTCGCATCCAAAAATAATTTTTTACAGCTGCATTTAACCTCTTTTTAAATAATTGTTTCAAATAATAAAGTTTATAGTTTACAGAACGCTTATGTTTACACATAAAACTACAAAAACAAACTATTACGCTCAAATAATTAAATTCGTCCGATAACTTCCACATCACCTGTTTATTAAAGCATGAATCAAAGGATAGAAGGAACCAATACTATGAACTTAAAAAGAAACAGTAGAATTCAAATTACTTCTACAAAAAGCATGTATGTCCTGTGAACTTTAGAAAAAGTAAGATTCAACTGCTAAAAATTTACTTTGAAGAGCACGATTATTTGTGAGTGATAAATTGAAACAGTTTGGTAGTGGTAATAGTCTTTTATGCCTAATATATTTGTTTACTTAAAGTTTACTCATTCATAGATGCAACTTAGGTGAAATTGACTTATATAAATAAGGTATGACATACCAAACAATGAGCTATGTAATTTATTAGGCAGTAACAAAGGGCTCTTAATGTGGCTTCGATAATGCACACCAAAAACACTAACAAGGACACCATCCATGCACAACATAGCGCTGTTTACAAAAGCCATTAAACTAAAATATAGAGCTGTACCGGCCAATGAAGGTAAAAAAAAAGAGTTGCATAGCCACTATCAAGGAGGAACAAAAAAATTTATGCATAGAGTCATGAAGATGTAGTATATATCCTCATAAACAGGAAAAAAATTAACACCGTTTTACTTCTACTCTAGCCTAACATATCAAGAAGGTGCCAAGCTGGTCAACATAATTACTTTGCTTACCCATAAAGTCTTTGCTAGAAGGTATTCTGCAAGACATAGTTGGTTGCAGTTATAATTTGCCCAAAAAGAGTATTTTTATAGAGACAATATTTCTAGCCTTTACTTAACTAAGAGCCCTACTAAGGCAGGTTAATTTTGAATCAATGTTTATTCCTCCTAGCCTTTAACTAAAAAAGCAAATCCTACAAGGCGGCAAGATATGGGAAACGTACTACTAGATTAGATGTTACAAGCAGTAGGGTGATTGCGAAAGTCCTGAAATTGTAAAAAAGTAAATTAAGTTACTTATGTAAGTAGGACTTTAAAAAACTAAACGTGAGATTTTAGAAATGTATTTAAGAAAACATTCCTTCAAAATGAATACGGTTAACTTATGTTATAATCATTTATTAGTAACTGTTGTAATCATTAGTTAGTAACTGAGCTAACAATTCGCCAGAGATTAAAACAAACACAAAAATACAATATAAAAAAAACAAACACAGTCGCTTACGGGTGTGCAAACAACATGCCAGATGTTCAAACTGAACTCAAACATACATGTAATAGCTTACGGGTAAATTAACACCGCGCCAGATGTTCATACAGAACACAAACATACAAAAATAGATATGACAGATATTAGACAGTATAGAAGTGACAGATATAAATTTTATGATGATGATAACAGGATGTGGACGTTGACAACCCTTAGGTTGAGTAGTGTAACTTATTTTTGGTATAAATGTTTATTTGCTTTTTTGCGCTAGTCAGAAAGACAAGCGCAAAACAATGAACATAGGTTAATGCATCTCTACCTAACCATCAATTAACCTGAACATATGTTAATGCATCTCTACCCAATTAGCAGTACATTAATGAGCCAGAGCTGGCGAGCATGTTCCGGCAAAAACACGAGTAATTCTTTTAAGTGCCTTAGCTTGTGCACCAGAACTGGCTAGCCATTGTCGGACCTCAGAAATGGCTAGCCATTGATCTTTAAAGGCTCGCCGGCGTAGGTACAAAAATGCATTGCGCAAAATGTTTTCAACGTAGATGCTAATTTTACGGAGAGAAAAACGTTATTATGTTTTCATATAAGTATATAATTTTCGTTATATCACATACTGTATACTTAGTAATCTTGGTTTTAAGTTTCAAAAGGACTACAAGAAAAAAAAAAAAATCGAGAAGTCGTTAGAAATATTTTATTTTGTCTTCAGGGGGAAATTGTTATCGATCAATCAGGGGGAAATTGTTATTGATGGAACATGTAATTTTGATTACATAGGTAAAACTGGGTTTTTATTTTTCTTAGCCTATTGACGCATTGCCCAAAAGAGTCGTTTAAAGCAATTGCATGGGTTGAATACTTCAGAATATGAGTCTTCCAACACCACTGCTCTGGATATATTAACCTCAATATTTCTTACCAAATTAATAATGAAGTTTGTGAATTTGAAGTTTGATCTGATAAAGATTCAGATGAAAGTGATAAGAAGAATGTAATAGATGAATTAGAGGGTGGAGAGTCCCTCTTTGTAGAGGTATACAGAGAGAGAGAGAGAGAGAGAGAGAGAGAGAGAGAGAGAGATACAGATATTGACATATACAATTATATGTAATGGCTATATTTAGCTATACTCTTATAATTATCTTCATAAAAACACTTGATATATGACTGTGTTTATATTTATAGAAGCAATAGAAAGAACTTTGCCGACAAAAGATGCGACAGATAGTGAAATTCAAAAGGCAGTTGTGGCTTTTTTTCTGGAGTTCTTGGCAGAAAGAGAGACAGAAAAGATTATGCAAAAAAGAATCTATCCAGAAAGTTGTGGCTATACTGCCCAATTATTGGCATTGAAACTTTTATCTGGATTATAATTATCACGATTTGAACGCTGTATTTTTGATAAATCTGACAAAAAACATTGTTTTCAAAGTTTTGCATGATCTGTTTTATATGTTATGTTTTATATTAATTGCATATTTGACATTATTTAAGGCTTTACAAGTATTTATATTATTCATGACAGATTTAATATATTTATTTTTTATATTATTTTTTTAATGCAAATTTAATAACTTGTAATGTATTAACAAACAATATATTATATAAATTCAATAATTGCTTTTTGTTTGTAATTAACAAACAATATATTATATAAATTCAATAATTGCTTTTTGTTTGTAACTTATGTATTGTAACAAAAAGTAAAAAAAAAAAAAAAAAAAAATATATATATATATATATATATATATATATATATATATATATATATATATATATATATATATATATATATATATATATATATATGTATATATACATACATATATATATACATATATATATATATGTATATATATATATATATATATATATATATATATATATATATATATATATATATATATATATATATATATATATATATATATATATATATATATATATATATATGTATATATACATACATATATATACATATATATATATATATATGTATATATATATATATATATATATATATATATATATATATATATATATATACCTATATACATACATACATATATATATATATATATATATATATATATATATATATATATATATATATATGTATATATATATATATATATATATATATATATATATATATATATATATATATATATATATATATATATGTATATATATATATATATATATATATATATATATATATATATATATATATATATATATATATATATATATATGTATATATTATAATTAAAATAGTAATGTAGAATTACTTAAAACTTATAAAAAAAAAAGTTTAATTGGAAAGTTTTGTATAGTGGGCGTTTAGTGCAACGTTCGCTGGTTGCCAGCGTTGGCCCTGAACTGAATCAATGCTGGATTGCCAATAGCAAAACGTTGTTGCGCCAGCACTGGCTTGCGTACACCAGCCCGTTGCAAAACTAATGAGCGACCCGGCGCTGGCACAGCGCTAACGTGCCAGGTCTGGTACAGCTCGGCAGCCAATCCTAGTTCGCTATTGGGCCAAATAGTGTCTGCTTACCGGGTAATAAGTATGTCTAATATGACACAATCTTGCATATATTAAAAAAAACAACGTTTTTCAAAGTTTAGGATCTGGGTTAAGGTTTAGAGTTAATTATAAAGATAGAACAACCTTACTCTTGTCTTAACCCTATTCGTACCAGCCGTAATCATAAATTTGACCATAATCATGAGTATAAAATAAAAGCTACCAGTCAGAATTTTAAGACTTTTTTTTTATTTTTACAAAGAATTTGTTATTAAAAAACCTTTTCCATTAATGTTAATAAAACCAAAAATAAGGCTCGTTGAACTAAAGAAAATATATATTGATTTTATGGAGCTTTAAATAAGTAAGGAGAAATAAATAAACTTATCGATTTGATATTAAATGAGAAAAGCAATTATATTAATGTTCAAGCAAAAAAAAATCTTCACTGCTATAATAAAAAAAAAAAAAAAATCAAGTATTTCATTTATATCAATATAATCTTATCAACTTTTAGCCTTTTTATTTTTATATAGAAAACGGTTTTTAAAAAATTTATTCCCATTTTAGAGATATATTTAAAGTTTACCCTGATTGCTAAAGATTTTTTAATATATTTAAAATTTTAATAAACCGCTAAATGGTCACTTGTCATTTTGGAACATATTTTATGACTCGCAGTGCGGGTCACTCGATAGTTGTCACATTCACGAAAAATTACTAATAATATATGTACTAATCTTAGGCAAAAACATTGCAAACAAAAGCTAATAAATATATTTATTAATACAAATAGTAATATTAATCATCCACAGCAATAATAAAACGAACAATAAAAGTTGAAGGAGTAAAAATACTAATGGTAATAATAAAAGTTGTAGTTGTAACAATAATAATAATACAAAGATAAAGGTAAAATGATTATAAAAAAAATAAAATGACAGAAATGAGAATAATTACAATAATCATAGAAAAATAAAATATTAGTAACTTAGAATTAGTCACATGAATACACATATATAAAGACACATAGAAATAAACACATACAAACACACATACACACTAACGTTCACAAATACATATACACACATATACTTATATTCCGTGTATTCAATACAGGTATTTAAACATTGATTGTATACAAACATAATATTCACCCATATATGTAAATTCATAAATACTATACACAAATATACGTATATACATACACGTACATATACATACACACATAAATAAACACACATACAAATACAAATACAAACATAACATAACATAAAACACATACATACACATATAAAATTATTAAGTTACAGAATTATTACACATTAAATTAATCAAATATCAATTTAAATTAGTAGTGTATTTCCCTGAATAAAGAGAGTCTTTAATATCAATAAAAATATTATTTGTAAAGAATATAAATTAATTCAAATGTATTAAAGTAAATGTGTACACTTAAAAAAGTTTCAAATGAAGTTAATATCAATATGAATAAAAGGAAATTCCTTATTCAGTAAAGTTAGTTTCAAAAACTCACAAAAAAGTATAAATTGATTACACGGTCTTTAAAATTTATTAAAAGATCATTAAAATCTGATTATAATTAGATTATAATTAATTCGATATTAAATAAATTACCAACCATTAAAATTGTCTAATATATTTTAAAAATGAATTGTTAAGTTTATAGTAGTATGTTAAATTTAAAACCTGTGTCATAATAGTCATAAACTTTAATAGCTGCAGATTTCGTAATTTCTACTTTTGAAGTTTGATCAATTCGAAAACTAACACAGCTACCATTGTTACTTATCTAAACATATAAATATATATATATATATATATATATATATATATATATATATATATATATATATATATATATATATATATATATATATATATATATATATATATATATATATATATATATATATATATATATATATATATATATATATATATATATATATATATATATATATGTATACATATATATATATATATATATTATATATATATATATATATATATATATATATATATATATATATATATATATATATATATATATACATATATATATATAAAATGTATAAAAAAATAACATCAAAAAGAGCATAAAAAAAAGCATTTTAAATGTTGAAGTCAAATAATCTTATAAAAAATGGTGTACAAGTTTTTGTTGTAATGCTACCATCATCATCCTATTAAGAACTTTATCGCCGCATCTCAACTTTCGTTGAATTTCAGCTCTGTTTTTTTTTTAATGTGAATCTTGAATTTTGTGATCAAGATATTCTGGAGCAATTGGTTTTGATATGTAACAAGGCAAACGTACCTTGGCATTGTTTGGAATTTTCGGTAGCCCCCAAACTGGTCTATTTTCTTTTTGCACAAATTTTCTGGTGCTCAAAACAAATTCACATAATTTTCTGTTTAGTTATACTAATATGTATATATATAAACATGTATTTAATAATTTTATTAAAAATCCAATTTCTTGTTGGAGGAATTTTTGAATGCATATTCTTTGTGCACGACATAAAAACCCTTTCAATACATCAATAATAATATTAGGATTGATGTTTGAGTATGATTGAAGTTAAATATTTATTATTGCTTCTTTTATAGCTCTAATATAAACATCTTAGAAATTAATTTGTTTGAACGGGTGACAACTAAAAAACGAAACTGGATTTAAAGACACATATCTCCGTAAAGGAATAAGACTTTAAAAAATAGGAAAACTATTTTAGAAGGTATTTTTATTCTAGTAAAATAATATTTAAATATATTATGTGTTTTTATTTTTTATAGAAAAATGAATAAAAAAATAAATTCAAAACAAGATTAGGAAACGTGTGTATGAATTTTATTTAAATTACAAAAATGCTTGTAAAAAGTTCACTTATGACCACTTTAAAGTTGAAAATATACATAAAATTACTATCTAAAAGATAATTAAACGTGCTGAAAGTGAATCTGGGTGGCAAAGAATTCAAGGAAGTGAAATAAAAGCTAAAAAATGACCAGGACATACATTAAAAGGCTCAAACTCATGTTTGACCATAAAGACGGAGTTTCTCAACGACAGGCAGCTAAAAAGTTTAACTGTACACAGCAACACATTTGTAAAACATTAAAAAAGGAACAAATATTAAATCAAAAAAACTAGCGATTCCAAAATGCTCTGACCAGAAAAAACCAGTAACTAAAACTAAGTGCAGTCGATTGTGTCAGAAACTCAAAAAAAGTAAACCAATCATTGACGATCAATCTTCTTTTACGTTAAATCACTCCAGTATCAATAAATATATTTTATACTAGTGATGTAAAATCTACTCCATCTACAGTTAAATATCAAAAAAAAAAAAAGTTTCAAAAGAAATTATTTCTATGGATTGCTTTTTCTGAAAAAAGGAATTTCTCAACCTTATTTTGTACCAAGTGGACTGGCTGTAAACCAAAAAATCTATTTAAACAAATGTATTAAGAAGAGACTTATTCCAATCATTAATAGGTATCATTCAGATGGTGCATATGTATTCTGGCCAGATTTAGCATCATCTCACTATGCAAAAAAAGTAATTATGTACCTAAACAAGGGAAACGTGCATTATGTTGAGAAAGTGGATAACCCTGAAAACTTGCCAGAATGTCGCCCTATCAAAAATTTTTGGAGTAATTTGAAAGGCCTTGTTTACAAGAATAATTGACATTTAGAAAATTTCAAAAAATTACGTTCTAGAATCAAGTATTGCCTTAAAAAATTAATAATGAGCTCAAACGGAGACTAGCTCAGTATATAAAGTCAGGTCAGGTTTTCCTGCTACTGGTAACATGTAACCCAGTACAACCTGCTCCATGTCCTGCTGCCTTGTAGGATACGCTTTTTTAGGCAAAGGCTAGGAGAAGTTAACTCCGAATTAAAACACCCCCTGCCTTGGGGCTCTTGGTTGAGTAAAGGCTAGAGATGGTGTCTCGATAAAAATACTCATCTTGGGCAGATGTTACATGCATCCAGCTGCTGTCTTGTAGAAGGCCTCCTAGGCAAAGACTTAAGGGGTAAACAGATTCTATCTGTTGACCAGCCTCGCACCCCTTCCTCATCTATTAGGCTGGCGCAGATGTATTTTTAATACATTGTTTCCAGTTTAGGATGTTGAACGCTGGATCTTCTTGACTCAATGCGTGGGTATTGCTTGTGTCTCTATTTTTATGACTGGGCAACTCATTCTATTATCTCCTAATGAGGGTACAGCTCTAAAAATCAGTTTTATGGTTCTGAGGCCGGCTGGTAGTCAGGTTTCCCGAACTCTGTGGTATCTCTCAGAGAGGCTGATTCCATCAACAGCCGAAAAATATCAGAGTACTAACAATGCGATGTTGCGCATGGATGGTGTCCCTGTTTGTACTTTTGGTGTGCATTGCAGAGGCCACATTTGGAGCCTTTTGCTACGGCTTAGGGTTTATTAATAGTAATGAGGCTATTGCTTAGTTGTTAAATAGTGTACTGAGTACTATCTATACTTGAGTCAAGTTCTTTATAAATTTAAAATGACTAAAGTACCTAAAACTAATAAACACAAAAAACCATCATCATCACCAAGTTCTCAAAACCTATCATTTACTAATATTCGTGGTCTTCGAAGTAACTTTTCTTCTGTTGAGTCTTATCTCTTGCAAAGTTCACCAGACCTACATGCTCTTTGTGAGACTAATTTGAGTTCGACTGTCCCATCTTGTGATCTTAGTGTTGATGGTTATCTTCCTTTAATTCGTAAAGACTCCAATAATCACATGCTTGGCCTGGGCATCTACATTCGTAAGAACTCACCCATTTGTCGTGAAACTAGGTTTGAATCTCCAGACTATTCATTTATGTGCTTTCGTTTAGCACAACTTCACTCTATGGCCTTTCTCTTTGTTCTATATCGCTCTCCTTCATCCCAAGATTGCACTATTCTTGATGTTATTTCTGATCAAATTGACCAAGCCCTCTCTCTTTATCCATCGGCCAATATCGTCGTTGTTGGTGACTTTAATGCCCATCACACCTATTGGCTTGGCTCTAGTGTCAGTGACTCTGCTGGCGTTAAGGCCCTCAACTTTTGCCTTTCTCAATCTCTAACTCAAATAGTCAACTTTCCAACTCGTTTTCCAGACAACCCTAATCATTTACCTTCTCTACTCGACTTATGTCTTGTTTTGGATCCTAGTCAGTGCTCAATTTCTCCACATTCACCCTTAGGTACTTCTGATCACGGTTTGATCTCTCTAAAACTATTATCAAATTCTTCTACTTCATCAGAATCCCCCTATCATCGTACCACATACAACTACCTTAAAGCTGACTGGGACTCTTTCCGTGATTTTCTTCGTGATGGCCCTTGGGTAGAAATCTTTCGTCTTCCTGCTGACAAATGTGCTTCTTACATAACTTCGTGGATTCAGGCTGGCATGGAATCTTTTATTCCCTCTCGACGATTCCAGGTCAAGCCTCACTCTTCTCCTTGGTTTTCCTCACATTGCGCTGCAGCAATTTCTAATCGAAACCGTTACTTCCATATCTATCAGCAAAACAATTCTCCAGAAAACAGACATCTGTTCACTATCGCTAGAAACCATTGTAAAAAGGTTTTGTCTGACGCCAAAGCTCGCTATTCCCAGGTCATTAAATCTCGTATCTCATCACAAAAATTAGGCTCTCGAGACTTCTGGAGAATCTTTAACAGTATCAATAATAAGGGCAAATCTGTTATTCCTTCTCTCTTGTATGGTTCAGACTTTGTCACCTCACCTAAAGACAAAGCTGAATTGTTTGCTAAGAACTTTTCATCAATATCATCTCTTGATTCCACTAGTTGCGTTTTACCTGACATAGCCGTCAAACAGGTTGATCCCTTGCTTGACATTCGCATCACTTCAGCTTCTGTATCTAAAGTAATTTCCTGCTTAGACTCTTCAACAGCTTGTGGTCCTGACAACATTCCTGTTGTAGTCTTGCAGAGGTGTTCTCCGGAGCTTTCATCCATACTTTCTAAACTATTTAACAAGTCTTCTTCCTGTCATAAGCAAAGTTTTTGAATCTTTAATCAACAAACACTTAATCTCTCATCTTGAATCAAATAACTTACTTTCTGATCATCAATATGGATTTCGGTCTTCTCGTTCTACAGCTGATGTGCTAACAGTAATAACCGATAGGTTTTACCGTGCATTAGATAGAGGTGGAGAGGTTAAGGCTATCGCACTTGACATTTCTAAAGCTTTTGATAAAGTTTGGCATGCTGGTCTTCTCCATAAGCTTTCTTCTTATGGTGTAGCTGGTAACGTCTTTAAGATTATTGAGTCCTTTCTTTCCAATCGTAGTATAAAAGTTGTCCTCGATGGACAACACTCTTCTTCACATCCTGTAACTTCAGGGGTTCCTCAAGGTTCAATCCTTGGCCCTATACTCTTTTTAATTTACATTAACGATCTTCCAGATATTCTCACATCTAAGGTGGCATTATTCGCTGACGACACTACCATTTACTCTTGTCATGATAAGAAGCCTACACTCTCTGATTGCTTGGAGGGGGTATCTGAGCTTGAAAAGGATCTCACTTCTGCTACAGCATGGGGCTCACAGTGGTTGGTGAACTTTAATTCAGATAAAACTCAATTTTATTCGGCCAATCGTTATCGTAATAATTTAGATCTTCCTATATTTATGAATGGTAATGTACTAGATGAGTCATCTACCATTCATCTTCTAGGATTAACTCTTACTTCTGATCTTTCTTTTAAACCGTATATCAAATCCAT